TCTTCCCGGTCCTGCTTTTTCTTCATTGTGATTATCATAACTTCAGATCATCTGCAGATTTCCCCCATTACGATTTAGTCTTTCGATAACCGCGCATCGTCGTTTTATAGCACCAGCATAACCCGGCCTACTCATATGTTGTAGCCTTAGGGGTAACCAACAATATATTAATTCGGAAATTTTGACCTCCGCAAAGATAGGAGTTAGTGTTTATGGGTCAGTTTCGAAAAAGTTAACGAAACGACATCAGATAAAGGCGGCAGCTGCTGGTGGTGTGACATTGGACCGTTCCAAAATCTCTAGGTTATTGTGAAATCACATTTGGAATCTTTAAACACAAAGTCTGCTTTGAACGGTCAATACTTACAGAATGCAACTGAGCCCAATAGTAAAAACTGAATATACAGTTGCAATTAAAAATTAAATTTTTGTGTAAAAAGTTTAAATCAAATGCGACATTCCAAACTTAGAACATTAAGACCGTGATTGACCATACAGCTCTGCAGTATGTAGCCACAAAAAGTCAGCTATAAAACCCTGTGATAAACCTTAGCAGCAAAAGATAGTGTTACTGTCGAAACAGTTGTAGAGCAATCTAATTTCGCCATTCCAATCTAACGCAACAGTCACAGACTTATTCTTCTCATGCAAGGTCTTGCAGTCGTTCGTGTTATTGACTCAGTTGCTCAAACTCCTTGCACAATCGTCCCACGTTCGTGCCATGGCCTTAGACAAGGAACACGCGAAAACAACCCACATGGCTGTTCCTATGCATGAATAATTCAGATGGCGGTGTATGTGATCACGCTTAGCCGTTTAAAAGAGAGATTTCATCATAAAATTAGAAAGAATCCAAAGTGGATTATCGACCGTTTTTAAGCAAATAGGAAAGGTCAGAATCTAATAAGAATACATCATTTGGGTGTTCTTATTTCTGATGCAATATTTCTTAAGGGCTCGCAGTTCACGCCGTATTCAACCAAACGAAGATTGGTGGATGTAAAATTAACTTAAAGAATTGGTTAGTAAGTAAGTGTTCCAGTGTAACTTTGAGTCAAGAATATGTTTTTCTAGGTAAGACGAAGGCACAGGTTCGATAAAGTGTATCAAGTTGTTCAAGATGAATAACAAACTGAAGGCCACTTTAATAAGCATACAGGCCAATGTCTTTTCTGGTATGTTTTTCGGTATGGCCTCTGAATATGAGCACAGGTTCATATCGCCGTGTCTGCCTTCTTATTTATTCAATTTAACAAACTTTTGTGGCTTTATTTATTCCTTCCATCCACGATTTGAATTTAGGAGTTTTTCGTGCAAGGTTTACTGTAAGTGCAGCTACAAAAACCACATGACTGCATGAAAAAAAACATTTTACAGCTACTTAGACAACCATGAAGTTCCCCCATAACTGGTTACATTCAGCCCTGGAAAGCACTGTAGCCAATTGGGAGACCTTTTTAAAACAGTTTCATTTTGCTGATTGCGTTTTCTTCTGCTTTTTGGTCAGGCACATATGATTTAGTGCCCACTTTGCCATATGTTTACATTCCATTGCATTAAGCAGACCAACTTCCTTAAAATTAAGTCAGTTTTGGTGGTGCGGGTGTGATTTATGGCATCTAATATCCCTGGAGGCAACTCCCATCACGTCAGGATGGCCAATACCCTTTCAGTTTCTCCACGTATAGGTTACGACTAACGTAGACGGAGGTAATACAGGTGATTTCGGTCCATAGCAGCTAGGGAAGACCTAAGATTTGAAATCTATTAAGGAATCCTGTGCCGAAATTTAGAAAAAACTTTTTCGATTGAAGTGAAAAGACTTGAAAACAAATCAATTCAAGCGTGTGTATGACCGCAACTAACAAGAAGCAAATTATTAAGAGGCACAGACAAAGAATTAACTCCCCTTTATTTCTTTAGTCTTGTGCAAGTTTATAAAAGGAAAAAATATTATACTTGGAAAATATATCAGTTCAGTCATGCTGCAGTGCACCTGTAGGAAATAAATGAACAACACTGAATATTCTTGCCGCTTTAACATGTGTCGTGTAAAAGTTTTGGAGAAAAATAAAGGCGATAATCCGTAATACATACAACATGTGGCTTCGGATACTCCGAAAAAGAAAGCCGACGAAAAAGCAGCCCATAAAAGGAGAATAGGAAGCGAAAAAATACATCCAGTTAGGAAAGATTATACCCAAGAGATTGGATTTCGACTTCGCTTTGATGATGGTGCACTTTTGCAACGATGAGGCCAAACGGGGTTTTGTGAATTAGCCCGACGAGCAGCCGATAGGAAGCTCTCGTTGCCCCGGTCCTCCGGCAGGATTCCATGGTGAGAATCCCCCCGGCTATTTACCAGCGTTTCATCCCATCCTCTCCCCGAGGAGGTCGGCTGGGATTTTCGGGAAAAGTGGACACCGGTCTCCAATGGGGCTGGTCGAGGGGATAGTCCCAAATGCGAGATGGTTTTGGACTCACTAGCCCATTCGGGATTAATTATATAGTAGGCACCCGCCGGAGCGGTCTTGAGGGAGGAGAACACGCTGGTCATTTTTGTTGTAGATTTGGACCGTGTTTGCGGCTCCTGTGTTGCAAGATCGTCAGGAGGCTCACCGCGGAATTTTGAAATGAGTGGAGGAGGACGAGGAGAATGACACTGTTTCTCGTTAATTGGCTGGCCTGTGCTGCCAGTGCTCGTCCCATTCCAAAACCTGGCATTAGTTCCACTGCCGGCTTTTTCCATGCTCACGAGTACTTTTCGGAAGGTCAAAATCTAGGAGTGGTTGAAGACCAAAGCAAAAGGTTTGACATACTTGGGCTAACTACTTAGACAGCACCCACTTATATGAAGATGGTCGAAAGTACAGTGAATTTACTATCTCATGAAATGCTCATCAAGGTTCTGAAATGTGTTCCCCTTTTGAAACGATCACTTGAGTTGTGTGGTAATATTAATTATCGTGCAGCGTCATTCTCAGGTTTTTCGGCCACGTCACGATGCTGACTTTTGAATGAGTTCTTTTCAGACGGCCAGCATGCATTACACTCTGTAAAAAAATGATGACTTATGTCACATATTTCTTCTCATTTACTTTTGACGACCTTATAAATTCAGCTACATAGAGAATACGTCTTTTTTGACATGTATACTTAAAAATGGATATCTCTCAGTTTTAAAAACCGTTTTCAGTTTTCAAATAATTCTGAACCCTACTTGTCATTAAACATGCACTCATAGTTTCCCAATCACATGCTTTGTACATTCCATCCAAAGAAATAACACATTTCTCTACAGTGTTAGGAAGGCCTTAAGAAATCTTATAACTAGAAAGGTCATAATATCCGAAAAGGCGACCTTCTTCCAATGCAAAAGTTAACGAACAGTTAATTATCTGTGAAGTGAATACAAAGCATATTTTTGTGAATGCATTTCAAAAACTATTCTTAAATCTCTAAGGGTATCCGAAATCAATGAGAAAATTAATAATAACTTTGCAGGCGGCCGGAAAGGAACTCCTTCAAAAGCGGATATCCTGGTGTGATAAATTAATCTTGCCATTATACTGCATGATAATCATGTTTACAACCCTAATTGAGTGATTTTTGGAAAAGGGAATAATTCTCAGAAGTTCAGTTGACATTCAACGAGGTAGAAAATCTACCGTATTTGTTTCAGCTAACAATCTACATAAAGGTCGTGTGTCCACTACAGTTTGGGCGTTTATGTTTCTCAAAATGTACGATGTGAACTTGAAATTATCCCAGGTGGCCATGCATACATTAGAAAGTGGTCACAACTTCGCGCGGGAGAACGCACGCATTGTTGGCTCTTGCCTAACCAGAAAAGGCCGTGCATTCCTGGAGGCAATGCACTCAGATGCTGCATGCATCAACAGGCATATCGATTTGGACGCGAGCTATAATTATCTCAAGGCCAAAGTTAAACGCGCGCGCCCAACCACGGCAGGATGACAAAATGTATGTAACGCCTATTGGCGCAGACTTCAGCTAATTGTAATATAATTTGTTAGACACTGTTAATTAAGTTAATCGTCCATGTACATATCCCATAGTCCGACGACGAGTTGGGAACCCAGCCTCGAAAATTCACGCATTAAGGCTTCAAATTTCCCAAAGAAGCGTTTCCTGTCTCAATTAAATATCTTGGGATACCCGTATTTGAACAAATATAGAAGTATGTGGATTGAAGGCACTATTACTTAGTCTTTTTGGATTATACTAGAAGACCCAACAATTTGTGGAAGTATGGGGCCAGCAAGTCAATTTTGCCTTCTTACGATACGCTACAGATGAATTCCGATTTTAAATTTTGCATGGCGACCTTTTTTAAGTACACGTGGGCATGTCACATAGGAATGGGTTTAATTAACATATTCTGATTAGATAGAGATGTGGATTTCCGTTTGGATTTTGCGTCCATAGCCTATGCAAACAGCACTTGACGACTAGAAATGAATAAACGAGCAGCGTTACAGTAAAAAGCTGAGATGACCGCCCCCACTTTATTTTCCCTGGTG